ATTTATGCTTCCGCATTTGAATAAATGTTTTAGTCTTTTGGAACCTTGTTTTGGGTTAAGACATGAAAACCGTTGTGGAAAACTCCTATTTGAGTATGTTGAATTTTCGGGATATTTTGATGAACCTAATATGAATTGGTTATCATGTGTTTGGTTATTTCATGCTTTCGTTTATGAGCTGAATAATTTATGTCGAAAATCAGGTTAATGAAAATCATGTGAAAAACCGGGTATTGAATTCCTGAGCAACCAGATATGAATTGGTTGATGTTAAATGTTTGAATAACGCCCATGTTTTAAAAAATGAATTCGAAAAATTATTTACTGATTTTTGGAAAGTTTGGAATTTCTTTAAAATCAAAGTGAGGTGTTACAGTTTGGTATCAGATCCAGTCTGCGTTTCTGTAGATTGGTCTATATGTGAATAACTTGTTTATGTGCTTTAGACCTTGTGTTGACCACTCGTCTTCGTCACGCTGCACTGCTTAAGGTATGTTTTATATAAGTATCAATGAAAATACTTATAATGTGAATTGTGATTTTGCATGAGTAGAAATAAAACTACTTGTGATGTTTTGCATGAGTAACAATGAAACTACTTGTGATGTTTTACATGAGTAGCAATGAAACTACTTATGAGGTTTTGTATGAGTAGCAATGAGACTACTCATGAAGTGATATATATGTTGTTTTGGGGCTTAGGAAATTTATCCACCTCAGGTTATATGAACTCTAGTGTTTGACATTGAACTCTAGTGATATAGAGTTATGTTCGGACTCTTGAGATTCTAAGTTTTGAGTTTCAGTATATTATTATTGAGATAAGTGTTGTTATAACATTTTCTCGCAATAAGAACCGTTCAGTGTCCTTGGAGTAGGACCATTCGTGACCCATCTCGAAAGAGAAAGGTTAAGTACAGAGTGAATCTCTAGTGTATGAGATCACTCGAGAAATTAGAACCTCAGTCGTCGAAGATCGAGAGTGTGGTTTAGATTCCGCGAATTGGTTACTAATCGAACCCCATAATTGGTTAGGAGAATCTAACGCGTATCACCGTCGTAACTCTTGAGAGTGGCTAAGCCTCGACAGGGACGATGGTTGATAATTCCCGTACGTTAGATCAAGCGTAAGTCCTGAAGACTGATGCATGGATGAAAGACGACAACGTCGTCCATAGGACGAGTGGATTTCTCCGAAATCGCGTGAATATCTTGTGAGTTGGCTGTGAGGCACGCACTTGTAAAAGGTATGAATTTAAGCTTGATGTTGAGGCTCTATAAGACTCGAGATGTTAAAGTTGATGTTATGAAAACATGCTTATATGATTGAACTTGACGATTATTGCACGACTGGGATTCTTTAAAACGCGTTATGTGGTGATCGTATGAGTTTATGTGAATTTGTGTTAAACTCATGTTAGGAGTGACCTCCCTATATCTTATATGTGCGTATTTGAGATATATGTTGTGATTATATGTGACTTGTTGATGCTCGGTTCATGAGTGTATGATTTGGGTTGACATTTAATTCAAAACTCCATGTTTTAGCTGCTGGTTGTGCTCAGTTTTTCGTAACCAATAGGCTGTTTCTTGGGCAAGTGTTTATCATAATAATTGTAGTATTTTGCGTTAAGGTTCACTGAGAGTTGGAATTTTATAATTCGGAGATGAATTGAATTTATTATGGATTTTTGAAGTTGTAACTGCGAGCAGTTTTTGAAATTCCGTGCAGAATATTGAATCATGATGTTGGGCTATTTTTGACAATGTTAATGTGACTATGTGAAAATATGATCAACATGAAACTTATAGTACATGTTATAAGATTTCTCTGGAAGTTGAAATCTTGCAATTTGGTGTTTTAGTTGATTTTATATGATTTTTCAAAGTTGGAGTTATGGCCAGTATTTTTAAAACAGTGGCTGTGTTTACGATTGAAATGTATGCTCTAAAATGAGGCTCTTAACGTGATTATTTGTAAATATACCCTTCTTGGAAGTTGTAGAAATTCAAGTTTAGCTTTTGTAAGCTTTGAGTTTGCATGATTCGGAGTTTTGTGGCATGAGATATTCCTGTTTTAGTGACCTGCTAAAATTTATAAATAGTTTCGTTGGCAGATTTCTTGACCTAAGTGTTTTATGATTGAACTCGATTTTAAAGTTATTTTTTGGCTTAAGTGATCAACAAGAAAGTTATAGGTCTGTTGTTTTTTGTTAACTTTCTAATGAGATAAGGTTCATGCTTATATGATGACTGTGGCTCAATTTATGTTAAATCTATTTAGGATATGCATGAGATGAGTTGGTAATGATGGTAGAAATTGATTCCTAAATGTTAATTGCTTTTACACTATCTTAATGGCCTTATCTGCTTCTGTGATTTAAATAAATATTGTAGATGCATGCCTTAGGCTTAACTTGAGTCTTGAATCGTGTTATTTTGGTGCCTGTAACTTATAAAATTCTCAATTTTCTAAAACCCTATAAGTTGACTATTTCCTGCTTTGAATTGTGATCATGATGTAAATGTTTGCTGAAAAATATGTGATCGAACGACCTTGTATGCTAGTGTGATTTAAATGAGAATTGTAGCCGCATGTTTTAGGATTTATATTCATCTGAGACTATGTGGTTCAATTATATCGCATGAGTTATGTTTTCGAAAATAAGTGTTACCTTCGATATGCATGCTTATGTGCCTTATGTTAATTAATTTGATCATTGTTATATCAATGTTGACTGGTAACACGTACGAGAGAAGCTTTACGCTAATATCTCGAAGTGTGGAGAACTATAGGCTATATGTGAGGTTGAACTCGTTTAAGACTGCCGACACGATTAGCTACCTGAGTAAAAACTGTCGTGACGGCTGACATTGTTGGTCGAAAGAGTCAAATGAGCTAACCATGCTGTTGTTCGAAGTTGACCGTCAAGTTAGGATTTTTCCTGGCAGTGATGCTAATGTTCGATCCCTTTTGGGGAAATTGTTGTTGTCAAACCCTTTGTCCTGACAGAGTACTTAAGAAATTGTGAAACCCAAAAATTGAATTTCTGGTATGTGCCTCGAACCGAGTGCCGAACCTGACTGGGTGTAGCCACACAAAGTGGTGGCCGAGCCCGCACGCCCGTTCTGAGAGACGTGACGCCAACTGCAGTGGCTGATCGTTGACTCGCACGAGAGCTGCCACCACCATCACCGAACGCACGAACTCCCCAGGTCTGTGTGTACGGCCAACCCTTGACCTTGTAGCTGGTGTCCGGTTGGGTACACGAACGCGTCCCAGCGCCCCGCATATGCAGCGCCAGCGTGTGTGTCACCTCTCGGGTGAAAGTGCATTAAACCCAGTCCGACCTTGTCCTTTTAGAGGTTTTTAAACCTGATTTTTTGGTCAAAGTGTATGTTGATCTTTCGAGTCGTTGTGTGATTTCCCTAATCAACGACCCTCGATGTGTGAGGTTGGTCGATTAGTTTCCTTTGCCACATGCGAGATTTTCTCGACATGGCGAGATAGTAGTTACGTACTAATGTGGGGCGGAGCCTTGAGTCTCGGCTGGAGACTGACTCAGTGGAAGGAAATCGTTATTGTGTATCTAGCCTATACTTCCTAAACCGCATACAAGATGTTGTTCGTGTCGGGGAGAAGAGAGGCTTTGTCAGTGGTATCAAACAGAACCGCGTGTTCTAAATGTACCGGATTTTGAGAATAAGTGATGATTGTCGCACCTATCATGTGTTCTCGACCAAGTCAATAGCTTAGACTGATGGTTGACTCTACCACCGGGATTTGTGAGCATGCATGCCACATTCTAGCCTCGTAATGGAGGGAATGTGTGCGTGACCTCGAGGTATATGTGTATTGTGACGAGCTGCGTGTTAGGCAGAACCCAACCTGTATGGAGGTACCGGTGACCTGTTGGGACCGAAGGTCCATCAGGGAAAGACCGGGAGGGGTACTCGTCGGTGTCTAGTGAGTGTAGTCAAGTTGAGGGCGAGACTATTTGGCAGGGGGAGACCGAGATTCGGAGGGAGTACCCGAACCTCAGATTTGATGTCCCCTTCTTGTACTCTCTTTACCTTCTAGTTGTTGTGTTTTCGAATTCCGAGGACGGAATTCCTTGTAAGGTGGGTAGACTGTAACGCTCTGTTTGATTATGAATTATTGGAGAATATTATTATTATTATTATTATTATTATTATTATTATTATTATTATTATTATTATTATTATCATCATATTAATTGTTATTTTTGCCTTATTGTCTAAATTAATTGAGTTTGGAGTATTTTTTATTATTCTATTATTTTGCTCGTTCAAGTCATCATATTATATTGTCCTAAAAGATGATATAATGCCCCGTTCGATTTAATTTAATTATGTCGATCGAAAATTCAGTTTAAATCGGACTAAGGATCGACCTATACCTTTGCGTATTGACCAAACCGAGCTAAAGTCAAACTGGGGTCAAACCGGACACTTAGAAATAACTTCAAGTCATTTGGCCCTAAGAAGCATGCTAGGCCTCGCAGCCCGCGTCCAGCCCGCGTGATGACGGATCGAATTTTTGTCTATACGGGGTTGTGAATAATCGCGCGCTTAGGGTCTTCGATTACTCACGATAGTTGTATCTAACAGACGCACTATCGGCCTTCTCCTAGACACTATGACTTCAAGACGCTCTAATGGCCTTCTCTCCGACACTGTATGTAAACACGCACTAATGGCCTTGTTTAAACACACGTTAGAACATAAAGTTCCCCTCACAATTGGCTCACCAATTCAATACTCAATTCAACATTTAACATTATGATGAGGTACATGGGGTATTTATAGGTGCTAATTACCTCTCGTGCTAATCTTACTAGAAAACTAATACAACAATAAAATATTAAATCATAAGGTAAGTAAATATCCTACTATCATAAAATCCTAAATCTACTAGATTTCCTATTTACTTGTCTTGCACTCCAAACAATTCTAGAAGCTTGAACCTTGCGCCCAAGTACGTCGTCCGCCTCACGCGCGCTGCCTCCGCGCGCGCCGACTTGCGCGTTGCCTACTCCTTGTGCTGCTAGGCGTCGCGCGTCTTGCCTTGCACGCGCGCGCGCACCGCCATGCTCACCTAGTCCTTCGGTGACTAGGTCTCGCGCGCCTGCTGCGCCACTCCTATTCCTTGTAGGACCATGCTTCGAGCCCATATCCACTATTCCTATTGCTACTAGGAATATGCTCCCGGTTACGTTTCCTGATGTTCCGAGGATTACTCCAGTCACCAAACTTTCACGCGCATTTCGTCACTCAGCTGCTTTTCCTATTCCTGCAGGGTTTAGTATTCGTGCCTTGCCTATTCCTATGAGGATTAGGCTTGTGCCCGCGCGTGCGCCACCTGCGCGGTTGTCGCCCAACGCCCATGCGCTGTGCTCGCCTATCGCGCTGCCTCGCCCAGCGCCCATCGCTCACCCGGCGCGTCTCGCTCGTCGCCCAGCTCCTCTGCGCGCTCGCTCGCTCTCGCCCATCTACAGCAGTCCCTTGCGCGCATCAACCACCCAACATTCACCCCCTGCGCGCCACTTCGCCTAATCTCCAAGTGCCATGCGTGTCTACGCCAATGCGCGTGTGCGCACCCTTCTTGAATGCGCCCTTTCTCGCGTGTCCTAGCGCCACGCATACGAGCTCGTACCCGTCTCTTAGGCCATGCGTGCATCGCTTTGGCCCTATTTTCAGCCTCATCGGTTCGTCTCGGCTCTCAGTCCTTCTTGTCGTCGGGGGTCAAAACCCACTTATGCATCACCGTGCACCCGCGCGCAGCCCGCGCACAGCTCGCGTGATGCGGACACGGCGAGAAGACTCAAGAACGCAGCGAGTCGCGCATGGCATGCAAGAAGGAGGCTAAGTCGCCGTGCCGGCGAGGCGCGATACGTGGACGGACACGCGCGCGATACTGTCGGGGACGAGCGCGGGGTTGAACGCGCAGGCGACGGGGTACACGCGCGAACTTGCCTAGGCGCGAGGATTAGGCGAGCTGCTGGACGCGTGCGCGGGAATGGAACATGAAGCCCTAGTCCTTGAGCGGTTAGGCAACGCGGACGCGGGGCAAGGCGGTTTGGGGCGCAAAGCAAGAAATAAATTAAATAGCTTGATTAATATTTTATTTCCGTGTTTTCTAGTTTGTTTAGGATACTTTATATTTTATTGCTTTCCTAGAATAAGTAGTCTAGTCTAAGTAGATTAGGACTAGATCTTTATTTTGAGCCTTATAAATAGACGTGCCTTGTTCTCAATTATCCATATTGATTCTTCTTAATACAAAAACCGAACTTTGTTCAAATCTCTTGCTTTAGTTTACGCTAAGTGTTCTTTTGCAAATTATCGTTCGAAGGGCCGCGAGTGTGTGAACCTCCGAGCACAGTATCGGCGATTTAAGGCGCGGGAGCGGCTTGTCGGAAATCGAGACACACGGTCTTCATCACCGCGCATGCGCCTGCGCCCAGTGCATCCCGAATGATGACGGATCGGATTTTTGTCTATTTCGGGTTGTGAATAATCGCGCACTCAGGGACTTCGATTACTCAAGATAGGTGTATCTAATAGATGCACTATCGGCCTTCTCCTAGACACTGTGACTTCAAGACACTTTCATGGCCTTCTCTCCGACACTGTATGTAAACACGCTCTACGGCCTTGCTTAACACATGTTAGAACATAAGTTTCCCTCTCAATTGGCTCACGTTAGAACATAAGTTTCCCTCACCAGTTGAGAGTTGAGAACATAAGTTTCTCTCTCAATTAGTCCGGGAAGTCGAGAACGTAGGCAAGCCAGAAAAGATATGGAAAATCGAGAGTTGAAGGAAAAGGTTGAAGGTTTGGAAGGCCAATTCAAGGCCATAAACGAAAGCATGGAGGATCGATTTGGATCTCTCGACGAGGGACAGATCAGCACCAATGCTGCCGTGGCTCGTCTCGAGCAGCGCCTGGAGGAGGTGTTGCACGGGTTCCAATGACAGCAGCAGCATGAGCCACCACGGGTGAACGCACGCGAGCGTCTAAGGCAACATAAGCAGCAGCGGGCTGATCACAACCCCGCGGAGGAGGAAGAATACGAACAACGGTCGCAGGCGTCGGACGTACAGGAGCGAGCCCGCGTCGAGAAACCGAGGATCGTGCTCTCGACGTTCACAGGAGCCAACCCCGACGCTTGGCTGAACAGGGCAGTACAATTCTTCGACTTAAATGAGATGCCACAATGTGCAAGGGTTCGGTATGCCGCGTACTATTTAGATGGTGAGGTGTAACACACCGTCTGACTAATACATCAGAGTACGCGGTTTTTCGCAAATATTCTGAATTAAACAAATAAATAAACTAACTTTTTAATTTGCGAAACTGATTCGGGGGTTACCGTGAAAAA